CCCATCCCTCAACCCTGGTGATGAATCAAACCCTGTCCCTGGGCGAATCCTTTCCACGTAAGCAGAAAAGCAGCGTTTCCTGGTGGCTCGGAAAACCAGGCTCAACTCTTTCAGACCAGGCGGGCACGCAGAGCTGGGCAGGTGGTGCACCGCACAGGGAAAGCCACCTCTGAGTGGCACTGTCACACGGCACGCATCGGGGGGCACGCACGTGCAGGAGGGCCGTTTCCTGGAAGGGGCAGTCAAGTGTTTTGTTCTGACAAAATCTGTATTTTACAACCATTGTCTGGCGATTAGAAGTAAAGAGTCTTGAGGAAGGGCACCGTTTCCTGTTCACACAGATTTGCCCTAAGGGCTAGAGGCGGCGAGCTGGCTCTCACCGCCTCTCCCTCCTGAACCGTAACGAAACCTAGACTCCAGCCATGCGCCGTAACTGTCCTTGGCTTCTTCAGGGCTCCACTGCATTCTGTTAAACCTACTCCAAGCGGTTAACGCTTTCTATTTTCCCCTCTCCCGTGCGCTTCCACCTTCCCCACCTGGCCTGTCGCTCTCCTCCTAGATAGGGTTCTACCAACACTTCCTCTAAGTCACAGGGAATCCTTTTTCCTGGTTCATCTTATTTCTTCAAAGTTCAAACACACCTCTGGGGTTTGAAAGACCCCAGAATCCCATGAACCAAGAAGATAAGGAAGCCTGCAACCAGAAACTATTTCTAGAGCCTTCCCCCGCCCACCCCTATCCTGCCATATCTCCCTGGAACGGCTCCAGAAGCCTCCTAAACATCAGTTCTTAAAACGATTAACTTATATATTGCTCACACAGAAATATAAATCACTCTGAGTCATAGTTGGCTCCGGCTCCTTCAAAAGTCAGCCAGAGGGTCAATTTAGACTCTAATTAAATTGCCACCATAGCAAGCACCACTACAAAATTAACTCTCAAGTAGCGTGTGGTTTCACCCTCAAAACGGTCCTAACTCTGTTCTGTGAGAAGCTTCATGCGAAATCTCCCAACAGGTTGTGCAGAAAGGACGCAAAGCCCCCTCCCCCCGCGGAGGGAGGCGGAGCAGGGGCCTGAGCAGGACGTGAGCCGTTCCCTGCACCCCTGTGTTTCTTTTTAACAAAATCTCAAACAAGAAGGGCAAAATGTTAACATGTGTCGAATGTGTGTGGTGAGTAGAGGATATCTATTTTGTTATCTTCTGCTCTTTGAAGGTTTGAAATATTCCATAATTTATATTTTGAAATGTAAAAAGGTCATTTGCTTATGCATTGTGGCAAAGTTCATGTCCTAATTATTTATCAGAGAAGCTTTAGGGCATTCTAAGATGAACCCAAAGTGATGGCGTTGTGACCTGGCCAGGCCTCAACTCGCAGGGGAAGTGGCCATGAATAAAGCCACTTGGTGGTCCTCGGAGGCCCTGCACCGCCCGCTGGATTGGTGCCATCATGGCCAAGGGCAGTGACCGGGCTGGGGGTGCACACAGTGGACCCACAGAGCGTGGAAGTGGCCCTCCATCCCAGCGTTTGCTCCCACACCCCACCCCCGTTGTTAGACTTCCATCAGTCTCGGCTCCCAGCCCTTTTGCAAAAGAGGCGTGTTTTAAATGATGTATCCATTCTGCCACCTAGCCTTCAGCCGCGCCACTGCAACCAAGCTGCCTCCAACTGCTTCTCTCTCAATCTCGCTGAATTTCCCTGGTCTGCGGAGGGACCTGAGAGGCTAGGTACTTGATTTCTTGAAGGTCACCACACCAGGATGCGGCGGCAGCATTAGTATGCCTGGTGTGTCCTGGCTTCTGAGAAAGGGACTGATGTCGGTCTCATAGGGTCTTTAAACCAGAACAGTTACTCGCTGTGGAAAACGGTAGGCAAATGCCTGAGAGCATGGTAAGAGCAATGAAGACAAGAGCAAATGAAGACAAGATCCGTTGCTGACATTTTTCCTTTCCAACCGGAGAAATTCATGATATTTTATGAACTACTAAATGTCTAACGTTCCCAACCCATGGTGTCAGGCATCACCCTTGCCTTGACAATGATCAGAGGGAAGGCTGCAAGCTTTATAAAGCACAAGTGCCACGCACCCTTCGAAACGTTGTGCATGTAAAAGCATCAATTTTTACTTGGTTGCATTTCTTGAAATTTGGTTTTGATATCCAGTTAATCTTTCAAAGGAATGGGGAGGGGTAATCTCTGGGGAACGGCACACAAGCAGATGATATTTAACTTCTTACTCCTCCAAGAAGGATGTGGTTGAAAGGCATCAAAAGTTGAGTTAAGAAGCAGAGGGTGGAGAAGCTCGTGGCCATAAAGAGGGGAAGCGAACCTGGCCTCAGACGCATGTATCCATCCGGCAGGAATAAATGAGCCCTTCCCAATTACGTTCACCAGAGCTAATGTGTTTTTTGGGGTTTTTTTGTTGTTGTTTTTTTGTGTTTTTTTTCCAGATGCAATCTTCTGCGGGTGACTGTGAACCGATCTAGGCCTTCGGAATGGAAGTGGGGGATGGAATCAGGAAAAGCTCATGGGCAGCCCCCTGATCCAGCTTCCCAGAACAGAACTTCCTCTCCACCACCATCAACCATTCACTAGGGACTTGTAGAGGCGAACCCGTCTGGCCAGTATCCCCATCTCTGGACACAATTACTTTAGACAACCCCAGGCAACTGAGAATTCTTTCCCATGCCCTTCCAGGGAGCCCACCTGAGGGCCCCCTGGAGGGCAACTCATACCCCACCCGCTCTCCACCCCTAGTGACTAAGCCCATTTCTAAGCAGGAAGAGAGCGGGTCCCTGATTTACATTCCTGCAGCGTCCCCTCTCTCCGAGGCCCCCTCTGCAGCGCCCCCTACCCCAAGGGGGGGCTCCTGCCACAACCTCCCCTTCCGCTGTCTCCCTACCCTTTCCGTCTTCCCTATGAATCATCCCCGCTCCCTTTTACCTGTCCTCATACATTCTACTTTCCAGCCACTGGAAGTCAGCTGGACAAAAAGACATGTCACTGGAGGCCGTCTCTCTCAGAATGGAGAGTGGCTGGAACCAGGCAACTCGTGTTTCTCTGGAAGGAGCACCACAATCTCCCCATTCATCCCACAGGCTCCCAGCGTGCCTGGGGTCGGCCGGGCTGCTGGGCTGGTGCAGAAACAGGAGCAGGGGCCGGAGCACACAGGGCACACTGTCCGGCCACTCTTCTGGTCTGAACTTGACACAAAGGAGAAAATAACACACGATCACCCTCACTCCTCAGACACTTCAACGAGATTTTTTAAATATTAATTTCGCCCCCTAACTTACCAAGCCCCAGACAGAGGGGAGAAGAAACGATGAGGAGCCTCGCTCCTTTTTTTTTTTCTTTCCATCATTACACACAGCTCCTCCTCCCTCTCCCAGCCAACACCTCTGGCAATACAAGCAAAAGCAGGACTTTAAACTCATTTTTTTTTCAAAGATGTGCCTTTCAGCAAGTAGATAAGTGAGAGGACAGATCAGAATCAGGGAGTGTTAACAGCGTAGAGAGAATCACTCCTGAACCAAACCAGCAAGAGAAACATTTTCTCCAAAGCAGTGCTGCAGAAAGAATTCTTATCATAGATAAGGGTGCAGTCTAGTGGCAAACTTCGTGAAATGCAGCCCCTGCTCCCAAGGCAGTTAGAGCATTTCCAAGGGGACGAAGGGAAATGTAAGAGGTAACAGTGCCACCCCCGTTTCTCCCAAATAGGTCAGCAGAGACCGGTCATGTCTCTCCGACCCAGCTGTGAGGGCCACAGCCCGTCCTGTCAATTTCAGGAAAAAAAAATAAAATCGTCACTTTCCTTCTCTTAAGACTTGAGCTTTCTTTTAATTTCTAAGGAGAAAAGGAGTCCACAGTGTCTGACTAGATTATCTGAGGTTTCAGATGGGGTAATCATGTTCCTGGTCAGAATCTCTTCACGGCCAGCCCCAGGAGCTGTCAGCCAGCTTAGACCCTTGGGGTGTACCTGTGTGTGACAATTAACCTGATAACTGGGTGTCCTTCTGGACTCCCATCCGTTCCCTCCAAAGATGTGGACCTGCCCAATAGAAATGTCCCTTCAAAAGAACATGAAGGAAAAGTATTAGTCCAACCTGCCTTCCTTCCATTTGAAAGTCCCACCCCAGGACATCAGAGATGGCCAGGCGAGGTTTTCAGACTGAGCGCTTCCTCCAACTGCCAGTGTCTGTCTCACTGTCCCTACAATGCCGTGGTCTGAGTGTTCCTTCTGCGATTACACGCAACACTGACACACACACACCCCCCTCACCCCCAGGGTCAACAGTGTACCTGGGAGAAAGCTGCCACCCTCTCTTCACCATGTGCCCGTAGAGAGCCACTCCACCAGCAACAGAAACTCTTGATTAAATCCCCTTCCCCGGGCTTTTGGCAGTGAATCCAGTTTTTCTTCTCTTTCTTTTTAATTCAGTTCACCATCCATCTCTGGCCATCCCACACTAACACCCCCCCCCCAAGCGCGCGTGTGCACACACACACACACACACACACACACACACCTTACATGGTAACTGAGACACCAGCAGACAGCCATTTCCCAAAGCTTGGGAAGAATTTCTTGGGCACTGTATATATCCAGTTGGCAATTAAGAAAAAGCTTCTGCCTCCAGCCTGGGCCTGGGCTAGTTAAGGGGTGGGAGGGAGGGGGAGACTGAGTTACTCCTCATTGTGTCCACCGTGCATCGAAGAACTCCCTCGTCCACACGCCCCCGACCACCTCCTCCCTCGTGCAGCCCCAGCCCAGTCCCCCATGCCCCTCTCTTACATTCCGGGGGGAGGAGGGCGCTGTTCACGGAGCGAAGGGGAGCCCCCGTGTGTCTCGAAGGCCTCTCCCCACCCCCACCCCGTGTGAGTTCGTACTGCAAAGCTCCTTGGCATCCTTGCCTGGGTTGGGTGTTGGGGAGCTCAAATTGCAGCTACAAACTGGCTGGCAGCCAGGGCCGTCTATTTAAAAGCGCCTGTTCGACCAGAGCCGGTAGTCTCTTTGGAAACTTCTGCGGGGAAAGAGCTAGGAAGAGCTGCAAAGCGGTGTGGGGCTTTTCCTCTTTTTCGCTCCTTCTAATTACCCTCTCTTCCGTTTGCACCCTTCTCCCGACTTCACGCAGAACCTGCGAATTTCGAAGAGGTGGTTGCAGAGCGGGAGAAAAGAGGTGTTAGGGTTTTGGATCTTTTTTTTTTTATTTCTTGATTTCAACATTTTCCCTTACCCTTGCGGCTGCAGCCGCCGCCTCCTACCTGTTCCGCGCAGCCGCGCGCCGCTAGCAGCTGAGGGTTAGAAAGGAGTAGGGTGTACTTTAGATTTTAAACAAAATTTTTGAAGACAAATCCATTTTTCTCCACCCACCCCGTCTTCCCCACAGCCTCCGAGCTCTCTATTCCGGTGGTTGCTTTGGGGTGGACAGTTTTTGGCTTGTCCCCCTGCACTTCTGACCAGGTCGGGCTTGGGGGTTGTTTGTCCAGCCCCAGTCCCAGTGCGTGCACCTGGCGCTGCTCTTTCCCCCCAACCTGTTGCAAATCTTTAGTCCTGGTAACTGGGACTTGCTTGCAAGCACCCCAGCCCTCCAACTCTCCCCACATTTTGCAATTGTCTGGGGAAGGGCACCTGCTCTACCTGCCAGAAAAAAAAAATTTTTTTTTTAATTTTCTCCGGCACCCTCCTGGCCCCTTTGTCCCTGCACTCTCACTCTCCTGCCCCGCCCCAAGGTAAAGGGAGAGACTCGGAGAAGATGGTGCTCACCGCGGTCCTACTGCTGCTGGCCGCCTGTGCGGGACCGGCCCAGGGCCTGGGCTCCTTCGTGCACTGCGAGCCCTGCGACGAGAAAGCCCTGTCCATGTGCCCCCCCAGCCCCCTGGGCTGCGAGCTAGTCAAGGAGCCGGGCTGCGGCTGCTGCATGACTTGCGCCCTGGCGGAGGGGCAGTCGTGCGGCGTCTACACCGAGCGCTGCGCCCAGGGGCTGCGCTGCCTCCCGCGGCAGGATGAGGAGAAACCGCTGCACGCCCTGCTGCACGGCCGCGGGGTTTGCCTGAACGAAAAGAGCTACCGCGAGCAAGTCAAGATCGGTGAGCGCGCTCAGTGTGCCAGTTACACGGCGCACGGGCAGGGGACAGGGGACAGGGGACAGGCCGGCCAAGCGCGCTTTGCCCAGAAAGCGGCTTAAAGCCGTGATGCAACCCGGGGTGACGGGAGCGGGGGCGGGGAGGGTCTTTACCCAGGCTGATCCAGCTACCCTAGGCTGCTGTCTCTCGGAGTCTCTCGGGGTCTTCCCTTCTGCTCCTCGCCCCCGCCCCCACCCTACTCCACCCCGCCCCTCCCCCCTCGTCCGAATACTGACTCCGAGCTCCTATTCAGTCTCAAGGTCCAAGTCCCCAGGTACTCAATCTCCAGTCTGAAAGGGTGCATGTTTCCTTATCAACTCCCTCCTCCACCACCTCCTAGCGACCCAACACGATTTTATTTTTTTCCTGAACTTGAAAAAATAAATCTCTTTGTTAAAATATTGCTTTAACTGGGGACCTGGAAAGAGGGGCTTTCTGTGCTCTTTCCACCTTTGTCCCTCCCAGACCCTGACGCGGTACCCGTCCCTTCTGATGTTTCTATTCATCTACCCCAACACACTCGCGCACGCGCGCGCGCGCACACACACACACACCGGCACGCACCCTTGGTAGCTATTGCCTTTTGGGTGCGGGCTTCCATGCCCCTCCCACGTGCACACCCATTACTTTTGACTCGATATGATTGATTGTGGTAGACGGTAAAACAGATTAGAATGCAAAATACCCTTTTTTTCTCCCTGGAAGGGAAAGATTACTTTAGACACGCACGGCGGAGGAGGGGAGGTCAGTCGGGTAGTGGTGGGGGCGGGGGGGGGGGGTGCGTAGGAAAGAAGGGTTTGGTGTTCTGTGTTGGATGTTCATCCCTGAACTTAATTACTTTTTCCCCCGCCCCAATTCAGATCTTTACCTAGGGCGAAAGGTGGATATATAGGGTTGGGAGGCACGAGGGGATGTGAAATTCAGACCTCAAGACTTCCCCCTCAGTACTAATCCCCGCCCCCACCCTCGCGCCCGCATCTCTCAAACCTGATCACAAGTGGGTGTGGTATAACTGTAAAAGAAGCCCTGGAAACACAAAATAAAGGGGACGAGGCTGGAAAAGCCACGCCCCGTTGCTCCGCAACCGCCTCCAAGTAGCCCCGCCCCCAGGCTGCCCTGCCCCCAAATTCTCAGCGCCGGGAGTCCGGGTTTAAAAGGTTGACTGAGCTACGTGTTTCATGAGAACAGTTCTGCCCCCTTTAGACGGGGTTTCTTTTTAGAGGTAACTGATCTTAAAATTTTTTTAATGGTTTAAAGAACTATACATACAAATCTGCATTCCGAAACGTCAAACTGGTTGTTGATTCTTTTCAAAAGGCATTAAGAGTTGGCTAAATAAATGTTTACTCTCCGTAGTCACCTCCTGGGACAATGCTCTTCTCTCCTATCCCCTCCCACTGTGAGCACCCCAACCTGAGTTGTCTTAAAACTGCAAACTACAGAACTACCACGTAGAGAGAAGTGTGTTGGCGCCTAAGAAGAGCCAGGAGAGTTGTTCTAGGTTCAAACTAGATGTCCCAAAACCTGCAGGTTTTGCCTCTTACAGGCGGCCGCCCCTCCGGCTTTGCAAGAGGTAGTCTCACTCCAGATCGCTGCCTGCAAAAAAGAGACGGAGAGCAACGTGCAGACCCCGGAGGCCCCAGAGGCCAGTGTGTTATTTTTATTAAGAATCACTTTTTAAAAGCAGTCCCGCCCGCTTTCGTCGTGGGGGTTGTGGATTTGGAAAAAGTTGGGGGGGGGGTGTGGGTGCGTGGAGCGGGTAAGAGGTATGAATCGATTTCCTGGCTTGGAAGAGCGAGCGCTCTGATTAAGAATCCGGTCACATCGAAAGTACGCCAGGTATCAGCCACATTCCGGCCCCGCTTTTATTTGCCCAACTGTGTGGTTGGTGTGATGTGGTAGGTGTAGGGTGTGTGCGTGTCTGTGTGTGTGTGTGTGTGTGTGTGTGTGTGTGTGCGCGCGCGTGCGCAATTGGTGGTAGAGCAAACTACCACAGGCGCATCCAACTTTCCAGTTCAACCCACACACACACACACACACACACACACACACACACACACACACACAGAGCAGCTTTTGTCCCAAGCAACGTGCCCTTTAGATTTCTCTGCAGCCCTTTCCTCAACCTCAGCCTTCAAGGTACCTCTGGGCCAATACCTAGCGGCCTCTCCGTCCCCTCCCCTCTCCGGCCCCAGTCCTGCTCTTGGATTCCACTCCGCCTTAGGCAGGTGCCTAACCATCTGCAGTCACCGACGGCTACGCTCCACCGGTGGCCAGGGCTGAAGCCTTTCTCCAGGACAGATAGGATGGGAGTGGGCATTCCTGACTATAGTTTTTCAACTCGAAAACCGTTCAGTGGGCACCCCAAAAGTTGAAGATGGCACAGAGGCACTTCTCAAGGAGTGGAAATTGAACAGAGAGTGGAGGAGAGTGTCAGCTCCTTTAACCAAAATTCCTGTTCCCCAACACACACTCACCACCCCACCCACCCACCAAAACCAGCAGTGTGAACTTGGGTGTGCTCTCTCTACCGCGGTTTCCATATCAGCATAGGTACTACAGGTATAGATCACACACACACACACACAAAATATATGTGCATACGTAGAGATAGATCAATATCTTTTTTCAATCCCCCCAAAAAGGAATGCATTTGAATTGGTATTGGGGAGCTGAGGATTGTGAGGTGGCAGGCAGCCAAAGCTTCTGGGAAGAAGGGCGGAGGGCGGGAGGGCAGGCTGAGGCTGGTGTTTTGCTGTGCGCGTTGCTGCGCAACAGGAGAGGGAGTCGGCCAGAGAGCTTGGGACTGGGAGAGCGCGGGGCCCTGCATTTTATTTCGGCGAGTTCAGGGGCCAAGATAGATATAGAAACAGAGGGCAGTGCGCAGGAGACTGGAAGGAGGCGGGAGACGAGTTATTTATTGGACCAAGCCCAATAAAGATCGGTGAGCTGGATCAAGCCGTGGAAGCTCCCTGCTTTGCTCTGGGCATTGTTTGCAGCAGCCTTGTGGCTTTGTGGGCGGGAGGGCAGCAGAGCCCGCATCTTTGCCCTAGTCTGGGAAGTCTCTCCGGTGCCTGGGAGACGTTCAGCTGGGGATGCAGGGAGAAGTGGCTTCTGGGCTTCAGTGCCGTTTCATTGAAAAATAAAGAGAGAAAGAAAGTCAAAATGTGCTCTGGGAAAGAAAGGAAAACAGTACCTCAATAAAAATGAATCCGGCCTTTGCCTCTTTTAGGGGTTTGGCCTCCATCAACCCTGGCTTCCACTCCAGACCTGGTCCAAATGCCATGTTGAAGTCAAGTTCCAGAGTTAGGTTTAGTGGCCAAATTTGTGTCTGGGTTGAACAAGATCATGGAAAACTGAAGGGGGCAGATGCTGTTCCCACCCGCACGCCCTCCCTTTGAAATGGGTCTTTGAGAGGCTGGCTGCACCCTGTGCCAACCAAAACCGAGGTGGGAAGACAAGCGATGATGCTTTTACCTTGACTTTTCTTCCTGCCCCCTCACCACCACCACCCCCCACCCCCCCCAACCCCACCCACAGCCTGCCCCTGTCCTCTGCGTCAGCTCAGGCTGCGAGAGCCAGCACAGTTGGCCCCATTTTCTTTCCATTTAAATTTTCCCCCACATTGTCCCTCCCTCCCTTTCCCCACCACACCCCCCCCCAACTGCCAAGGCGTCCCCTGAGGGCTTGAGTTTTTAAGTCAGAGCAGCTGTGTGTTAGTCCAGGGCTTGGGCCGGATTCGAGCGGGCAGGTGGGCTTGCAGCTGTACGGGGAGGTCAGGCCCGACCCCGGGAGCCAGAGGTCATCATGAGGGTTATGGCAAAGGGCATGGGAGCAGGAATCCCAGCAGAAGCCCTGGTCCCCTTAATGGGGGGAGGTGGGGGGGGGAGGGAATAGGGGGAAGAAAAGGTGACTTTTGTCTAAAGATTTTACTTTGTACCTGAGCAATACCTTTGAAACTTGGAGTTATTTAATGTGAGAAAAATAAAACTTTGAAGATGAGATCACCACACTCCGGGCCCACTGCATCCAGAAACTGGAAGAACACCCTACAGGGTCCAGGTACCAAGGAGGAACAGACCAAGAAGTAGGATGGTTGTGGCGAGAGACAAGGAGACCATTTGAAGGGGTTTTGTCTGAGTTTTTGTTTTGCATTTTTACTACAGTTGGTCCAGAAGTTGCGATCCCCAGAGAACTGTTTTTCATCTGGATAAGTTTTTCAAAACAACGATTTATTCAATACTTGCAAAAATAAATAAGCAAATAAACAAGGAAGCCAGTTCTAAGCTTCTACTCCCCTTTCCTCTATATCCAAAGAATCCCCCTCATTTTTCCAGTTCCATTTCTGTCCATGAGTTCTGTTACAATGTCTTTTTTTTTTTTTAATTCAAAGGAGTGACTGGAGATCTCTGTAAAGGGCAAAGTGGTCTTTCCTGCCTGGCCACTTGGCTTAACAAGGCCCTGACATCTCTCCAGGAATTGTCCGGGGATTGGCCCAAGAATGCTAAAGCTGAAAGGGACCCCTGCAATCGTGAGGTCAGGGCCCTCCTGTTACGGATGGGGATACTGAGGCCCAGAGTGCAGAGTCACTTGCCCGAAATCAGATGCAGGGTTAGTGGCAGAACCGGGACTAGAACTCAGCACTTCCCTCTTGAGTGTAGGGCTCCATGCTGCTGCTAGTCCTGGCTCTCTTCACTAGTCACCAGGACTCTTGCCTGGGTCCAGTCTAACTTGCGATGAGGTTTTTGGCAAAATATCACCTGATGCTCTCATCCCACAGCGAGGCTTGTGAAGATGAAATAAGAGCTCAGAACTTGGGGGGAGGGGGAGTGTGCTCCATTTTAGGGGAAGAGGCAAAATAGCCCCAACGTAGAGAATGCAACACCCCTGTTATTTTTCCATCACTCTCTGTTCCGTCCCTTTTTCTACCCAGTCGTGCAAAAAAGGCTGGCTTCGGCCAGTGA